TTAATGATAAGAGATTCCTTAATAAATGGTGTTAATCCTCCCTATCTAATGGATTTGAATTACAAAACACTAAATTCCTTAAAAATATAAATTCTTTTCAAATTCTAAATGAAAAAAAAAAGAGTGAAAAAACAGCTATTTACTCTTGTGGGATGAAAAGGAGTATGGTATTTAGTTGTTTCAATTTTTAATTTACGGTGTTTTTATTTAAAAAAAAATGTTTTGTAGTCCAAATTGTATTAGATTATATAACTTAAACTATTAGATATATAAGTGGACTTGCTGCTTGATATGAGAGTTGTATTCCATTTAATGATTTTTGTTTTGCAAAATATAAAATTTTTTATTTAATTAATTTAATTTCTTCATAGGAGTTAGGAGACATTAATCACTCTTATTCTAAATTTACTTCACACATAGAAAATAATTTAGTTAAAATATTTTATGTACAATGATACATACAATATAAGTTTACAAATGAACTCTTTTTATTCAAAAGCTTGCATGTGATACTATATATACCAATACTTTAATGTCATGTTATATTTTGTACTGTACAATATGACATAATATTGTAATTGTAGTATTACTATTTTAGGAAAAAGCTTTTATTAAGGATAAATGTAACATTTTAATTTATAATAATTGTGGTTTTTACTTTTCCTTATAGCTGTCTTTATAAATATGAAATTCTAAAATGAAATAACTGGAAAAACAAAGTGAGTATTAATGAAGAATTCACTATTTTACAATTTAGATTCTATTCTATTATAAAACAAGAGTTATTGAATATGAAATCAACCCTCAATATCCAGATTCCAGAGACCTACACCACTTACATCTAATGATTTTAATTGTCCACGCTAATACAGTCTGCACTACATAATATTCTTTTTATTAATAAAGTAGATATTTTTATTAATGATAAAAATAAATGTTCAAATATTAATGGTTATATTTTTACGTGGACAACAACAAGGAGTAACAAGTACTAATATATAACCAAGTGGTAAGCGACTTGTTTCAGCTTAAGTAAGGTCTTGAGTTCGAGACCTTGTGTACGCAGCAGCTTTCGTTGGGAGATCCACCCACTATTCTGGTGCGTCACAGCTAGTCGAGTCCGGAGTAGTCGGGACGAAACCCCGGATACTGAGCGGGAAACTAAAAAAAAAATAAGTACTAGTATATATGTATATTTTTTTGGCCTTGGTGAACTCAAATTGTTTCGTCTTCTCCAATTCTGATATGAATTCCCCAGGGCAAAAATATGAATATCTTCCGATTAGCCGGGGACATCACTCATCTTGTTGGCATTCTCGTCTTACACCTCGAGATCCACACCTCACCAGATTAAGAGTCTGTTTGGTGATGCATTTTTAAGTTTTTACTTCTTTTTCTTTTAATTCTGTTTATGAACTATGAATTTAAATTTTTATTAGAGAAAAAATTTTAACGTTATTTTAAAAATAATAAAAAATAAATAAAAAGTGAATAAAAAAAATTTATAAAAAACTTAAATATGAAACTTTTCAAAATTCATTATTTAAAGTCTTTTTTAAAGTTAAAAAGAAATTAAAAAAAGTAAGTTTTTTAAAAAAAAATTTAAATTTATGAAACATGAATAGTATCAAAAAGCTGAAGCACTTACAGGTTTCACCAAACATACTTTAAAATTATATTATTTCATTTAACTAACAAGAGCTTAATCAAGTTAGCACTTATTAATTTCAAAACATTAATTCCAATGCCAAAATCTTAATTGAAGGATTCAAATTCCTGCAGTAGCTACACATGAGTCATGACTGTAGTTTTAACTACTTTTGCAAATGTGTGAATAAAAAAACCACACACTAGTTGAAAGCAGCAACAGGATTTTTTGAAGAAGAGGTGGGATCTCAGACATTTTGATTTTGCATTTTATGAGTCCAACAAATCCACCATGTACAAATCAAGAGTTATTTGACAACATAGAAACCCTAATTGGAAACATAAACACCTTGATGTGATTTATGAATTCCAAGATGTCCTGGGAAAATTTTGTAGCATCAAATTCTGTACTAGTTGGCCTAGAAATAATACAGAGATACTCAAC